AGTTACTCAGTAGGGCCAAATTTGGAAGCTCAGTTCAGAACGTCACTTCACGTCTCCTTGAACTAGGTTGCTGTCACAAGCCCTTTCCCAAATGCGTCACAAAAAGCCACAACGATTGTCAAGGTTCATATTCCATTTCTTGGAATGTGCATTTTACGCAGGCTTTACAGGCCCATAATTGCCTATTCAACATAAACTAGAAAAGATATCGTCGAAAGATGATAACCTCCGGTAAGTAAGTAAAATGTAAAACGTCTGTTAGCAGTGAACCTTCCTTTAGTCAACTATCCAACGTCTCCTTACGGGCCGATGCATTTCGACAACGGCATACAGGAAAACGCATTTTTCTTGGCTGACCATACTACTCGTCATTTTGTTGAAAATTTTATTTTCAGATTCCCTCTAGGTTTGGTTCAAACAGCAGGATGTTTCTACTTGAACGGACACAGTAGTCTATCAAACCCAGTCCAGCATGCCAGTTGATCTGTACCAATAAGGTGCGTGTAAATCCTGTTTTAACGGGAACAGTGACCACCCACCACTTTTCAGATATCTTTTTATGAAATCTTTCACTCAGAATTAGGTGCCTTGGGTAGGAAAACAATAGGTCGGTTTCCGGTGCAATACAACTGTACTTCACATGGTGTGTGCCACGAAAACTAGACTGAGGCTCATTAGGAACCATTATTTTGAATCAGCGCCTCAAAAGTTGAATTATTATAAAGGAACGGAGCTTGTTGAAACTAGGGTGAATTTCTTCGTTTTTGGTCGGGTCATATTGTTAGGCCTACGGTGTTTTTAGCTTCCTACGAGTGTCCATTCGCTTCTGGCTTCTATAATGTAAGCCGGTCGGTAAAGACGGTAAAGTTTCTCTCATAATCTTTGGCACATTTTCTGTGGATAAACATCTTAGTTTTGATTGCTACACTACTACATTCATTACAGATCAATTGCTGCACGAAAGATTGCCCTTCAGACTATTGAATCTAACCTGACAAACTGATAGTTCCCCGTTCACTTGCTCACTCAGCCCGTAAAAAATTTGCCCTGCCCCCACATGTTTTGGGTCTCCGTCCTCTCAATTTACCTTCCCGCAAAGGCAGTCCTGTTCGACACCAAAATACTGGTAGGTGTATGCATCACTGACTTATTAACCCACGCACTTTCATTCATCGTCTGCTGGGACTGCTCTGGCTTGTTCTGGCGTCATCTGCAGGTGATCTTGCCGCCAATCAAAATCACCAAACTAACCTGGTGAGGGACGACTGTAACCAATACTACCGAGCCAAAACTCGGCCCGCCGTTGCTTGGTGTGCGGAACTTCACACTGCGTTATAACGGTCAGTGACAGATTTGCACAGGTGTTGACGTAACGGGGGTGGACAGCTAAGGCTAGTTGTGCAATTGTATTTACCTCTGGGTAAATAGTACCGTGAACTTTCGAACCCGGTTGTTCCTATTGCTACTCGGGCCTGATTCTAAGTTCTGTACCGGGAACCTCTTTGATACAAATAACTGACTTATTGACACATGTTCTCCCTCAGAAGAATATGCATTTTCCTCATGGTTCCTCTTTAGACGTTGGGTTTGTTCACATTTCAGATCGTGTAAATGCCGCCTGAATTGTCGCATTTCACAAGGCTGAGAATCTGCAACTTTCAAGAGACAATCAGCCTTTAGGTGATTTTTCCGATGTATGTAGGGAGTCATAAATTGGCTTATACTTGTGGATACTCTCAAAAGTGAAGATAATCCCAAAGGCTCCTATGCTGCTCGCATAAACGCAGCCGTATGTCTTCGACTTCGACTAACAGTGGAAAAATTAAGATCTTCTTAGGGCTTTCAACAAAAATAAGCATGTGACATGACAAAATACGGGCGAACTGATTTATTTCCCGCTACCTTTGGAGAAAAACGTACTCGGGGGAGAGCCGCAGATCCTCAAGTTGAACTGTAGAACTGTAGCTTTTTTTGCGTCCAGCAATGCACTCAGTCGATTGACAAAATAGCGGATTCTACTTCGCTGGTCAGCCTTTAGTACAAGGTTGGCTAATTCGTCACGTAGAAATCGAGGGCTGAACTTAAAAGTGAGTTGATATCTAAAATCTGAAAGGTTATTTGAACAGAATTCAACGATAGTGCACATACCAGTGCCGTAGAGTATCGCCTGAAATTATTCCGGTAAAGGTTTTGCGAAAAATAAGCATGACGAATGTTTGTGAATCTCCAAAGGCGGAAAGAGGCGGCCTTTAGTGTCACAAAAGAATCTGTACAGAAGCAAGTCCGTTTTCACTCAATTTTCTGAAAGGTGCCAAAAAACTATGTAGCATTTCCAGACGAACCTCGACCTAACTTTTTATACAGTGAGGCGGTTAGGATTTCATGACCAGTAACTACCTAGCCCGCAATTTCACTGTGATCAAAGGGTCATTAGCGTGTGTCTACATTTACGCCAGTAAGAGATGACTTTTGATTAACGAAGAACATGGTTTCTACTAACTGTAAAATCGAAAGTTCATAGATTATCGTCTGGCTGATAAAGAGTTTATTCAAATGAACTTGACAGAAACGTAGATTAGAAAACCATTGGAGTTCAGCTTTGGAGTAAAGGATTGTGCGACTACAGGATACCGGTATTTCATCGTTTCGATTGAAGTTCTTAAATTCGATTTTACAAAATAGTTGTGAATACAAAATTTGAACGCATATACGTAAATTACTGAGTCAGACATGTCCGTCTTATTTCCTTAGTAAGCTGACAGGCTGTATGAGTGTCTCTTACGTTCACAACGTAGATTTGTACCGCACAATAAACAAGGCATCTGGAAACCCTCGAAAGATAGTTAGATATATATGATATACCTAGAACGACAAGCATAGTGTAGTCCCGGGGACTTGAGGTCCAGCTATGATGACCTACTCAGTTCTGCATGTGTTGAAGCTCTTGATAGTGAGCGTTTTATTTTTGGTAAAATTAAGATGAGCAATTCAAATTTAACCTCTTCTTATTTCGCGTATTAAACTGTGCTGTTTGTTTCAAAAGCACTGGAAGACGCGTAGCCAGCTTCGGCTATGATAGTTCAGCTGATGGACCCAGTCCTTGCGTCCAAATATCTTCCGTTCAGGGTGAGTTGTCCTGAGTGGGAATAAACTCAGATCCGTTGGATTAGTTTCTTCCTATTCTAACCGAACGATGTCTTCGATGCTCTGATCTTTCGTCAAGACAGCATGGAAATTTTTAGATCATTTGTTTACCCAATGCAGACTGGCTATGCCAATCACATTTTAGTCACCTAGTAGACATACTTTTCTTTACCAGTTTTGACGTAGGTATACAGATATTTTGATGTTCTGCACGGATTTCGTTCAGCATTTTCAGACACAGCTGCACTGCTGATGATTCCCAATAAGGATGAAACAGCTGTACAGTGCTTCTCGGCTTTTCAGCATAGATTGGCTTCACTTACAGGACGAAATCCCACAAAAATCCCAAATCTCCTCACACTACCAACAATATATAAGTAG